GCGATGTAACGATAAGTGAGTCAGTATTTACCCTTTGAATTGGAGACTGATGCCCTGGAACAGAAGACCATTGTACCGTAAATCACGTCGAGCATATAACCTTCTAGAAAACCACGCTCTTACAAAGGATACATATATCAAGTATATCTTCAGATGGTCTTTTTACATGATCATATTACCGGTAAAGGGATTGCGAACGTGTCACAGTGTGAGTTTCACTCATTAACTAGTACCTGATTTCTTGAGCTCAACACTATATTAGCAAATATAAAACACTGTTATAACTTGGATATACAGTAGCATGTTATGTGACTCTCTAAAACGCCAGCGTTCTGTAATTGAACTGGACATGGCATACTATGAAACGTTATCTGATCAGTGTGTTGTGCAGGCAGGTACATGTACCTCTTTATCGGTACATGTACATGTGGCGGAGAAACCAGGGCTTTATGTTGACGGTATGCATGTTTACTGTGTAAACAACCTGTGTGTAACCTCATACAATAAATATGTGAACTTTACATTTGAACTTGTAAATGTATCACAGCTATCTGTGGTTCTTAGGTTCAGAATCTGAACCTGTACCAGTGCAGTAATTCCCTCGGCAGTCAGTACCGCTACACAAAAAGTCTATGGTTCACGCGGATATTATGAATGCGACTGAAGGGTTAATGTTGGTGACGACTCCTTTTTTTAGCTTTTGCTTTCACCGGCTAAAAACATGACAGTAACATAATTACCGTTTGAATCGAGCTTCTGGACGTCACAGAATGACGAAACCAGTGTCAATCCATTTCTTGGGTGTGCACCAGCAAATACTGCCGACGCTACACTACCGATTGTATACGAGGCAGACGGCTGCATTCGAACGTAGGAGTAACTGCGTAGTAGTGGAGCCGTATCAAACACGACGCCTGTGTCGAGTGTAGCGAGCGTCTTGCGGTTCATTTGCAACGGAGTGGGCCCCACATCCAATGAATTAGATGCATCGACCACCGATGCAGCCACTCGAGCCAGCTCTTGTTGTACTGCAGCCAGTTGATTCGGCCCAAAAAGAGTGG